CGACAAAATTACCGCGACGAAATGACGGGATACCATTTTATTTATTAGGTACTTGAAATTTTCACCAAATGATTATTTTATCATTTTTTATACGAAAATATTTTGACCCATTTTGAGCTATTCATAGTAATTTAACATTTTCAATTTATTTTATTATTATACTTACATTGTACTATCATTTGGAGATATTATATTGGTATTATTTGTAATTCTTATTTCAGCTGCCTCTTCTGAATGTTCGTGTTCTACGTTTATTGACCTGACACTGTAGTGTAGGTATTATGCGAATTACACAATAAATAAATAAATAACAATATTATTGCCTATAGGTACCAATCTACGTATTCGACATTTAAATCAATTAAATAATATGATAATTATGATAAACTTACTTTTTTTTGAACGAATTTCTTTCATTCTAGCAGAAATTGTTTTCGGTTTACGGACATATTGCGCACTTGTGTAACCACGAGCCTTTTTTGATATTTTCATTATAAATTAAATGGGAAAAAATAATTTTGTTCAATAATAATATAGAGCGAATGGTATATCGTATGTACCGAACACAAAATTACCTAAAACAATTATTCTTTACGTCTGAATTGGATTATTCCAAAATAGAGACTAAACACGAACTAATAGGTAGTAATACACCTCATTTTTGATACTGATGAAGCTACCTATAATATAACGTTATAAATAAAGCGTTTATAACTATAAATAATAGTATAGTCGGCGATCGGCAAATAGTAATATTTATAATAATATTTCTGGGTAAAATAAAATAAGGCATGGCGTATATCAAATTATACGCCTGCATTGCCAAATTCACAGAATTGTGACGGCAGGTTATCTTCGAACGTCGTGCATTATAATAATTAATATCAATAATTAATATAATATCCGCTGTATTTMTGTAGCAGCACACACCACGGGCGATACTAGCAAGTTTTCGGTATCTTTTGTTTCAAACTACTTTACGCTCTATAGCTACAATTTGAATAATAAATAATTTAAACAAAATTTTATTTCACCATCTGAAACATGAGAATTTTAACTAGGTCCGAGCGTGGAGTTTTTTTTGATACCTATATTATTATCGTCTAAAAATATGTGGTTAAAAAACTACATTTTAACATTTTAACATTAAAAAAAAAAAAACTTTAAAACAATTTTAAAAACAAAAACTCAACGCTCGGACCTAGTACATATTTCATTCTTTCATAATCTGTATTAATTTTGATTCTACGATTAATACAAACGGATCTGTACGCAGAGAGCGTGAACGTGTTTTATTACATATAAAATGGGTGTGTAGCGTCCTCTTAATATAAAAATAGGTATATATRTATATTATGTTTATTATAAATAGGTAATATTTTACATGTTAAATATATTTGATATTTACATATTATTTACTTAGATAAAAATTATTAAATGAATTACCAGCAGCTAAATGCTCATCATAATACCCATCTATGATAATTGCATTAGATTATTAAAATAATAAAATCATATAATTAAGTATATAGGTATTCCTGTACCTGCGTGTTACACTTTTACAGTAAGTATCGAAAGTTTTCTGAAAATTATGACTTTGACCCCTCCCCTATCTAACCATTTCACTGAATCCACCCCTGCGCCATATTGTGTCCGTATTTTTTTAAATTTACGAGTCACAAAAACGCATTGTAAACACATAAAGAAGTCGCGAAATGATTAAATCTGAATTGGCACTTCTGATCAGATAACTGTGATATTTTATAATAAGTAATTCATAGAAGTAATTTAAAAAAAAAATCCCATTCGTGGAACAGTGAATACTTCTGCCTAACCTAACCTAACCTTTTTTTTACGGGAAAATCGTGGGGGGCCGGAAATACCTTGAGGCGATTCGCCAGCTCCCCCACATTGTTTATTTCAACAAAATACTTCACACAAAATAACAGGTTACAACCGAAAAATAAGACAGCCCTACACTGTCAAAAAATTGGCMTTCAGCCTATAATAATAAGTAATTGTTGCCTTTCCCTTCACTTCAGCCTAACCTAGCCTAACCTAACCTTTATAAATCCTCCACTTCCCATGTACCTACCCACATCCTATGACCTAACCCAACGACTTATGTTCCGCAGTTGAACGGCATCAACACACAGGGAGAGAACATCGCGGACAACGGTGGCTTGAAGCAAGCGTACAACGCGTATAAAGTGTGGACCAGACGACATGGCGAAGAACCACGGCTGCCCGGCCCACTCCAGAACTACACGCCGCAGCAGATGTTCTGGGTGAGCGCCGCCAACGTGTGGTGTTCGAAATACCGTCCGGAAGCACTCAAGACTGAAATCAACACTAACTCTCACTCGCCCGACCGTTTCCGGGTCATCGGGCCGTTCTCCAACTTGGAAGACTTCAGTAACGACTTCCGGTGTCCGCTGGGCTCCAACATGAACCCGGTCAACAAGTGTCAGGTTTGGTGATACCCGCATCCTTCGAACGTGAAATATAGTATAGTTATTGTTGTATAATCATTATTATCATTATTTCATTATTTTTGATATAAGTATTTGTGCGAAATTATGATAGTATAATAATAATAATAATAATATAATGATATGTGTAATATAAAATCTCGACGCGCATGTGCCCTAACTTCTTAGGTGTACAAGTAATATAATATGATTTTAGATTCTGCAAACGGAACAATAAATATACATCGGTTTTACAATGCAGTATGATCTAAWAGGTAATACTCTAATTATTCTAATTCTTCGGTTAGATTCACAAGTGACAACAGCTTGGTAAAGAATTCTATGAAATTACGATATACTCATTTAGGATTTTGTCAAGGGGGAGAGGATATACGTTATCAAACATTTAATTTTCC